AGTGTGTGTGTATATATATATATATACACACACACCAATTTCTCTGAAAAACTCGTTCTTTGGGATGTGTAGCTTATGAATCGGTGATCATAGGAAGTTTTAAAGTAAACAGTTAGGTCCGCCGTGTATTCGAACGTACGTACGCCAAATTTGGTGCGTATCAGCTCAGAATTGCGGATTTGTATAAGGTATACATGCATGTAAATATTCTACATATTTATAAAGATTATTTTTTAAAAGTACAAGCGTGAAGCGATATAAATAAAGCATAATGTTTGCATAATGATCTTGTTAAAAAGAGGTCTGACTCGTCTGGTCATTTATTAGGAACACGAAGAATTGTTTCAGAGAGAAATGAAAATTACTTTTGCTTTTTCTTGAATTCTAATTGATTTGACCTACTACTTTAGTTCTGACCCTTAACAATTTCGATATATCTTTTGCTTAGTTTAAACACTTTTTAAATCACGTTTCTGGAGCTAAATCATGACTTACGTGCTCGAAATTAAATAACAGTAAAGATTTTCGCATTGATGCATTGCGTAGGCAATTTCCATTCCATCACTTAAGCATAAAAATTATGGACAAATATATTTTTAAATAATTATATATCAAAAAATATTTTTTTTAATCAAAATTGCATAAAGTTTTAATAAAAGTATTTGGTAAAATAATGATAATTCATATTATAACTCTTTGACCAAAGCAACTTATCGTTGGACTTTGAAAAAAAAAAAACGTGTATCATAATGTATAACACTAAAACGCAAATTATAAAAGTCCTTGAAAAATATGATTTTTTCCACCAAAATTATTACTCTAGTGTTAATCCAATAGGACGACTCGTTGTAACAAACCTTTTATGAAAAGGCAAGTCAAGTGGATTATTTCTATAGTACGTTGCTCGAATTAATTTGTATTTGTAAACAAACATGCAAAATAGCCATCCGCATGGCATTATTTTGGTTTAAAAACTATTTTCAAAAAATAGAATAATATACGGAAAAACAAATATGGTAAAATCACCTTATAGTATGATGACATTTCTGGTAACCCCCCCCCCCCAATAGTTCTAGTTAATAAGCGCAAAATATACGGTTTTAAAATCATTTATTTCGAAATTTTCCCGTTCATATAGTAACTGTTTACAAAAATTCTGGTTTTCAAAATTATAATTCTTATTAGCACGTATTCAGTAAAAATACAAAATTGAAAAGTAAATGTAACTGAATAAATGGTTTTATATCCTGCTTTAAGGTATTATAAAAAATTTACCGAATTTTTTCACATAGTATGAAACTAAATTTTATTTTTATTTTTACCAAAATCATTACCAAAGTTCTTCGGCAAAATTACCAAGATTTTTGGTGTTCTTTTAGAGTCATAAACAGGGTAAATTTTACCATATTCTGGTAGTTTTCACCAGACTTATTTTCTCAGAGTGGAAATGCGTATTGAATTTCTATATCATAAAAGTCTGCCAGCCTTGTGTAAATATAAACAGAGATTCAAGTCGTTTCATTGGATTATAGCTTGTTGCCCTTCTCTGTATGCACGAAAGAAAACCTAAAAACGATGCGAGGGAACTTTTTATTTGTGTACTTTAACGTGCAATATGCGTGATCAGAACATATTAAATGCATATTGCATTTCTTGGATATTATTTTAACATACTTTAACGGAGGCCAAATTTGATCAAAAAGCAGCCTTGTGTGTATTTTCATGAACTATATTCTTCTTTTACGAGTACCGTGTATCTTTTTTACGATAAAAAATAAGTATTTTATTTTTAAAAAGTAATTTAGTAAAATGAGAAGGAAAATAAATTTAATTTAGATCATTAGAAAGTAGAAGAAATTTTGATAATTATAAATTAAATTTCAAAAAAGTTGACTATAAATTCTTACATAAATTTTTATTGATAAATTTTATAGTTTTACTAGTAAAGTACAGGGATAATTTTTTATCGCATGTTTGAAATTTTTTTTTAAATGTAGGGTAAAACCATAAATTATTACCATATATGAAAATATTACCATCAAAATCATCAGTGTGATACTGTACACTGTAGAGCTCTAAACTTTGAACCGCTCTCTTAACTAAACTATTAGGACCATATTTCCTATATTTTGGAGTTCAGAAATCCAAATCCACTGATTAGAAAATATGTTTATTCTGAAAAAATACGTGTTTGCGTCTGATTTTGTAACTTAAAATATCGTCTGCACTAGTTATTTAGCTTTTTTGAGGTCACCCCTTTGAATCATTAAGATTGAATTCATAACACGAAAATCCGATTATTAGATCAAAAGATATTTAGGGTGGCCCATTTTTTATTTTGCGCACTATACATATTTAATTTCTTTATATTTCTTATTGAAAATAAAGTTTTGAACAACAAATTTTAAACTGCAATAATATGAGAACTATTTTAAAAATTAAAGAAGAGTAGCCATTTACTGTGAATAAAAAAATTTACAAAAAAAAGTTTGTTATTTCTTTTAAAATAATCATCAAAACTAGTTATAATAAATTAAAATATGAGTCTCATATAAATAAAAATGCATGACAAGTTCATACAATCTTTTTCTAAATGTCATCATAAGAATTTGATTGTTGAAATGAAGCAAAGAAGAAAAGCAATTATACGGGCATTATTTTAAATGTTCATAAAATTAACAGCAATTTAAACTACAGGTTGACTCCATTTTTAGGATACAGTTACAAAATCTATTAACATTTAGTCGAAAATATGAATCGGGTGAAATATCTTTACTCATTACTGTGCACAGATACTTTCAAAAGTCAAACAGTATTTCAAATCTATCCTAATTCAAACTATCACAATTCAAATCATAATTCAAATGTAGCATAATTCATGTAATTTATATTCATATAATTCATATTCATATCATATCATAATTCAAACAAATGTAAACAAGGATATATAAAAACCTTTTTTGTTTACAAGATTGTGCCTACACTTTATAAACAGTTTAAATTACTCACTTCTGTAACCGTAACCAGGGTTATCCCCAATCCCAATGTTCGCTGCTCCACTTACCCAGTAGGTGTGTTTGCAAGATAATTTGAAAACCATACTTTCAAAGCCATAAGCAAGTTTTTTTTAAGGAATTGTTTGATTTGCAGCTATTCAATTTTTTCAGCACCTGGCGCATATTCACGAAATAGGAAGGAATACCTGTGCATTGTACAGGTGGATCAACAGCGACTGGGACACGTAAGGCAATATAAATAAAGTTCATCAAGGAAAAATCTCCTTGAAAGGAAATTTAATATTCATTATGTTCTACAAAGAGTTTAATATAATGATAATGTAAATATTGTAGAATGGTCCGATATTATTGTTAGGAGTGAATGAAAAGATTAAATAGCGTTATGCTACCTATTTCTGCATCAATGAAATGTTTCTAAAAATTACATTTTTAAAAACATTTTATTGTTCATTTATATTGCTACACCGAAATTCGGAATAAAAATTCTGGTAGACATTCATTATTGTATGGTAATGGTATGTTAACAAAAAGCATAATTCTGGTTTATAAAACCAAAGTAAAAGGCCATTCACATTTATATGATAGTGGTTTACTGGAAATTCTGCTTTTCAAAATTATATTTCTTATTACCATACATTTTGTAAAAAATACAAAAGCAAATTTAACAGAACATAAGTTTTTTTTTACCATGCACTAAGGTATCATGATAAAGTAACCAAATTTTACCAATTTGACTTAATTTTATCACATATTATAAAATTATATTTTATTTTTAATTTTACCAAAATCATTACCAAATATGCACTTTGGTAAATATTACCGAGCTTTTTGTTGTTCCCATAGAGCCGGAAACACAGTAAATTTTACCATATTTTTGGAAATTTTGATCACATCTCTTTTCATCTCTGTATAAAGTTAAAACTTATGGTACTTCTTCCAGATTAGAATCGCATTTAAAGTGACTTTTTTAAAACTATATTAACTAAGCATATAGCCTGAATTAACATAACGAGTATTCAACTTATATAAGATTAATTATAAAAATTAAAAATAAGATTAATTATAAAAATTAAAAATAAGATTAATTATAAAAATTATGTGAACTTATTTAACTTATATAAGATTAATTATAAAAATTAAAATAAGATTAATTATACAAATTATAAAAATTGAAAGCTTAGTTTTTTTTAAAATGCAGCGGTAATAAATATAGACGAATAATATTGAATTAAGAGGAGACAAAGTGGGAAAATTTAATATATGCTTTTAATTCTCTTTAATAAATATTCATTAAGAACTGACTCTTAACATTTACTGTACTAAGGATTATCCTTTGAAGCATGTAAAATCCTAGATCATCTGATAAGTAAAATTCTACAATTAGCAAATTTTAAGAGTACAAGTAGTTTTATACATACTGTTTTTTAACCATACAAGTTTCAAATGCAAAGGTAAAAAACGTTCTTTACTGTAAACTTTATGGTTAATTAGAGGGACAGATTGCTGCCGATTTTACCATAATTTTAGAATGAAAATTCTAACAGTGCGGGAGAGAATTGCCCTCGACGGAACAAAAAGTTAATGGGTGACCAAACTTAATGTATACAAATCCCTATAAATTTTAATATTTGAGCTAACTTTTATATTCATTAATATTACTAAATAACTATTCGCAGTAACTAAGTGTTTGCTCCATTTTCATCTCTTTTCTACTGTTGGTATGATGGTGCCCAGATTGCATTATTAGGGATTAATTTTAATACTAGTCACTTTTGGTGACCATCTTCGTCACCTTTCAAAATTATCTTGCACAACGTATGGTAAACAACATATGGTAAACAAAATTATCTGGAACAACATATGGTAAACATTGCTCGCAGTTACATTATGTAAAAGCAGCGAATTTTTGATAGCTCCTGCTACTTAAACAGGGATTGTGAAAGGGAATTGGTTGCAAGAATATCCTTAATTTTATCCAACGTTATTCAAACGGGAAAATTTAGATATTTTGATATGTTCCAAAGATGACGCCATTCTGACGATAGGGAATTTTGGGGATTTTCTTAATGAGTATTTTTCTAAGAATTATTACCCATTAACTTCAGAAAATAAATAATCATTTAATTTGCATCTTTACTTTTTATGGCTCTTTGTGAGAGAACGATTTCTACGTCTTAAAATTAATAAGAGAAATCTATTTTAAGCTTATGATTTAATATAGCCAGTCTCGTATGAGGAGACATTATATATCTAACTAACTATCTATATATACAAATAATAAAATAAAATAAAAATAAAATAATATAAAATAGAAAATTATTAATGGGAAAAACCAAAAATCTTCCTCAAAACACATCTTTTGGTATAATTTAATGTGATATTTCTGAATAAGGAACAATTATCCTAAACATTATTCTTTATATANAGCAGAATTCGTATCAACCAGCCACTTCAGGGATTCAAACCTGAGTCATTGGTAGGTGAACGTGTAAGTTTAAAAATTAACTTCTTTTTAAACTCAGTTTTTGAACTTATTTTATGAGTTCTATAAACCTGCAGCTTATGCACAGTAAATAAAACTTATTATTTATCCTAATTTTCTCCGTTTTCCAATCTTTTTTTAATCCTTTTTTTTCTATATTGTATTATATATATATATACATATATTTACGCAAGGAGAAAAAAAATGCAGACTGCAATTGCAATAAAAAATTAAATAAAAAATTTTTAATACTTAAAATGAAGCTTTTTTAAAATATCTTCCCGTGTGCATGTCTCTTGATGATGACAGATTTCCTTGCCTAGTTAAAAATAGGTTTGCTCATTTTGATACCATACATGATCTTAAGTACAACAAACTATCAGAAACGCATGCCACATTTCCAATACATTAAATTGCACTAGAAATTACATGAGTGGGAAAAAATCCATGAAACACTTAACAAAAATCACATGCATAAAGAAAACAGATACATTATAGCATTTAGTTTTGAAACATGCATTTTATTTCAGAAAAATAAGCTTTTTTTTTTGCAAATACATTTGTGATGCTAATTTTTCGTTATCTAACAGTTTCTACGTATCTCTCTACTAGATAAATCCATTCTAGCTTTCCGAAACTGAATATTGATCTGTTATAATGAAGCTCTAATTACTAACTAGACATTTTAAAAGAAGCTATTTACTGATTCTATAATAGAAGAATATTGTTTGTGTGAATTGTTATCTATTATTCATATCATTTAGGAAAAGATAAAATTTATTTTTAAATAATGTTTACCTATTAGGTGATTGATGTTTTTATTTATAGGTAAGTCTTTTATGGAGCTATTTTTATACAGTAGTGTTTTGAAAAATATTTTTGGGATTGAGATTGATTTTAAAAAAAGGAATTTCTTTTAGCTTATTTCCTAAAATTAATATGATTTTTAAGACCAATTTTTTGGTGGGATGGTAGTTGGGATTCTGAAAACTTACCTACTGTAAGGACTTGGTCTTAAACTTATACATATATGCTTAAAAATAGCCGAATTTATAAATTCTATGTTTAAAATAGTGTGCTAATAAATTCGACGAGAAAAGATAAACTGGACGAACACGTAAAGCACAAGCCAGTCTTGGCTTCTCACGATGACCTCATGTTAACCTTTAATGCTACCTAAATTCATGTAAACAAAGCTTTTTATTGGTATTTTATTTGTATGTTCTGAAGTTATCAAGGTTTCTGCGTAAATCATGCTCTTTACAAAACTTTCAGCACAATTTATGGTTTTATATATAACAAGCAGCCGAGTTATATGCGCAAAACCGTAAAACTTACGATGTAAATACCAGTACTCACCAATTTTTTACCATTCAAGAACAAGCTCTGTCAGTAAAAGTTACAAAGTAATTGCGTAATATCAATGGATTTTACCCCACAAGAGCAAATTTTCGCTGCCTAAATTCCAAATCAAATCTGTATTCGTACCAGATATGGATATTTTATGTCATCGTAGTCGTTGCGAGCTGGGCACAGAATTCATATCGACTAGTCATCGCTGAGATTTCAACTTGGGTCACCTCATTGTGAAACGAGCGCTCTGTTCCCTCCGCCACCGCGGCTTTAATGTTTCATCATGAAGAAAGAAAATAGTAAGGTAAAGTATCAATTTGACGCTAAAGTCGAATTGCAGTTTTATATAGGCGCTGTTCGAAACCTTTAAATAATTGCTGAAAAGTAAGTGCAAGAACATCATCAATCAACCATGGCCAAGAATATAGCCCCGTTTTTAGGGTTCTATCTCTTACCGACTCTATCTTTTACGACCCAGGTAGGAATGCCTCATAATTTTGATCCAAGTCAAACGACGTGGACAGAGCCTGAGCTGTAAACCCTCTCTTTAATCTTCCACATCACAATCAATGAGAAGACTTTCAGACACGGCAGATTTAACCTGCATCATATGCTGAATATAAACGCTGGTTGTTTCGTCGGATGAGATGATCGAACTCACTACCTCCAGATCTCCAATCACCTGTGTGAGCTACCTCTTAATCGACTTTGCAACTGCAGTTCTCTAAGCGTATGCATAGGAAATAATCGTAAAATGACTTAAGAAAAGGCAAAGTTATCCAACAATAAGCCAAACTGTATGGCAAAAGCTAGAATTTGAACCGACATTTATGATTAAAAATGAACAAAACAGAAGTCAGAAAAATAAAGGGTATTTCTTACAGTATTTAAAAATTAAAAAATTTGGCAGTATAATTCTCACGGCCTTATAAAGGGTTAAGGGAAACAAAGGATGTTTCATTTCGATAAAATGAAGCTTTTAAGAAAATGAAGTAAGTTATGAATAGAATTTTGAATTTATACGCTTGAAGAGAGGAAGGATTTTTGTCATGGAAGTTATCAAAACCATTCTATACTGTTAATTATTTAGTTTGCTAAATATCTTAATTCATGGTGAATGACGGAATGAGTTGTTCCGTACAACCTGAATTCAGTGATATCTTTCATATTAGATGGCGTAAAAGATATTACTGAGTTGAAATAAAATGAAAGAATTCAATAATATCTTTCATATCTGTAGAAGGTCTAGTGAGGAGAGGATCAAGAGTCTCTTGTCTTTTTTATTCACTATTAGTT